ACCAAATGGGGGTGACCCGGGAGGTCCCGGAGAGACTCGGTCGGACGGGCGTAGCCCGAGTGGCCTCTGAGGAAGGGAGGGGAGGGGGCAACGTGGAGGGGGGTGTAGGAGCCGAGAAGTGGGCTAAAGTGGTCGGAAGGAGGGGATGAAGAGAAGGAGGACCACTGGGGTGGGGGGAGGGAGGAGGAGGGGTGTGAGAAAAATAAGGAGAGGTGGGAGGTTGTTGCCAAGACGGGCAACAACAACAATAAAGGGGGAGCTAGCGACGCAACGGTCGCTAACGTCATGGGAGTAGCGAGGTGCTACCGGTGCCTGTGGCCTGGCCATACTTGGCGTCGGTGCACCTCGGAGGTGGACAGGGGGGCTCGCTGCTACCGCTGCGGCTCCCCTGGCCACAAGAAGGTGGGGTGCCTGTCCGGCCGGGGATGTCCACTTTGTGTGGACTTCAACCGACCGGCCAGGCACCGGCTTGGGGGACCGGGGTGCCTGTCGGCACCTCCAGTGGAGAGGGGGGGAGCCCGGTCGGGGGCCCCGTGGGCTCGCCCCGGCGTTATCGCCGGGGTGCAGCTCTCGGGGCGGACGGGGCCGGGCTCCGTCCCTTCTGGGTGAAGAGGGGAGAGGGGAGACGCGCGGGGCAAACGCCTAGCGCCTCTCCCTCAGAAGTGAAGGCGCGGGGGGGTCCGTCTCCTCCGGGGGACGGGCTCCCCCGTCCGGGGGCCCCCGGAGGGCCCGGCCGGATCCCGATCCCTTTTGGGGGAGGGAGGAGGCCGGAACCCCCCGCGTGGGGATCCTAGTAGTAGATGATGCGGGACGGAGGGGAGATGGACACTCAGGAGAGTCGTACTTCCCTCCCTCCCGCATAGAGAGACTTCCTTCTCGAAGGGGGTCTCTCAGGAGAGGTCTCCGGTGTTGGAGCCGAATCCTAACCCCCTATTGGGGGCGGAGGGAGCCTCAACACCTGGGACGGGAGAGCTGCAGATTTCGAGAGCGGGGGCCCTCGAACTCATTGCACGCGGCTCTCCAAGGAGGGGAGAGGAGTGGTGGTGGTCTCCACTCTTCTCCGCCTGACGGGACTTGTCCCGAAAGGGGTGCGTCACGGCGTTTCGGAGGCACCGACTGCATGCGAAAGCGATTCCCGGGGCCTCCGAGTAGCGCCAGGAGGACCACCGTCAGGTTTAGCGGGTCGGGAATGGGCCTTCTGCCCATTCCCATCCCCGCATAACCCGAAGCCTCCCCCGAGGTGGAGGGTATGTGTTGAACACATTCCTGACGTAAAAAAAAAAAAGCGTAAGAAAAGAGAACAAAACTATGGTTTAAGTTTAAAGCTCATCGAGCAGATGAACCAACAAAATCTTGTTATTATTGTTGTGAGGATCATTTCAATGTAAGTTTATAAAAAATTATTATTTTTTTTACTGTTTTTCAGGCATTTAACTTATATATTATTTGTCTAACCTCTAAATACTAAATTTTTTTATTAAGTCCTTTAAAGTTATTAAATTATAAATAAAAATGTTTAAAATTGTTCAAACATTAAAATTGTTATATATTTTTCCAGTTAAAAGAGGACATGGAAAATTACATTCTTTAATTGTGCAAATCGAGCCTTCTCTTCGTAAGCAGACATAACCTATTGCAGTGTATCGCCATAACTTTTTCGACTAGATCTATATGAAAACAATATTTATAATCAATCAGTCTTGTAAAATAATTTTTAATTAATATACGTGTACTATTTATTAATAGATATATATTTTATCTGTACTTACAAAAATGCTTTAACCAACCGGATCTCTGCTGCATTATATCTAGTATCGTTTTTAACAAATTCTGCCACCATAAATATATCTATTTTTGGTATATTGGTTAAATCAGCTTTTACAAAGCCTGGTTCAACCATTTTTACACCAATTATTAGCGTATTTTCTTAAATATAGATTATTATACTAACGTGTTCTCATAGCGCACTGAAGATGACATACATTATTTGACGTCATTACTCAATCGACTAATCATCGGCCGTTTTTACGTCACGTAAAAAATTTGTAAAATTGAAACATTTTATTAATTAATTTTAATCATTTAACAATGTAAAAAATTCAAACTTTTAGTGTTTATATTGTTTAAATAACATATACATTTATTTAAAAAAATTTATATATAGTTTGTTATTTTGTATACTTCCCTATTTGTATCGTGTAATTTTAATGGTGAAAGGTTAATGACAGTTTGTATCGTGTTAATTTAACGATGATAATATCGTGGTGTGAATATCTCTCTAAGGAGTAGATAATATGGTATTATTAAATGATAATATTGTTCAATATTATATATGTATATATATATATATATTGTAACCGTTATTTTTGTTAGTCCGTCGAATCGAAAAAGATCCGGGAAATCGGGCCGATGTAAATGGCCGACGGCACACCTTCGGCGCGGAAAGCGGGAAATTCGCATAAACACGAAAAATATGTTTAATTGGGCGCCAGGCGCGAGATTCGCGCCACTCTGAAAATCTACAAATCGACAGATGACCTTTATAATCCGTAAATCATCCTGAAATTTTCCGCGACGGCGATAATCGACTCGCTCAGATCGTCAGGGGGTAGAGGGGGAGTTCGGACGGGAGAGAGAACGGAATTCGAGAGAGGCTATTTGAAATCGCTCAAATGTAACAAGCATTTAATATATTTGAACAATGATGAACGAAGATAGACAGAAAAATAATTGTATAAAAGCTTGAGTAAAATTGTTAGGTCAAGAAAGAAAAATCAAGATTCTTTCGATATACTACGGAGTAAACTCCGTTTTAGTGACGCCGAAATACAAATAAGCGAGGCCGAAATTTGATTCGAACAATATAATGTAGCGTATTTACGGCCGAGACGCGGCGCGTTGTTATTGTTCCGCGCCTTTGAGACGACCCGACGCGGTGATATCGGACGGCACGCGGGACCCGGAAGTAACTTCGCGCGCCTACGTGTCGAATAATTATTAACGCACGAGACTTAATAAGGTCCGTGCGGCGAAATTAATTCTGATGGTTGTAGGCGATACAAAATCTCCGTAAACTGCAGTAGGTCCCGCGCGACTTCCTTTGCGACCGATCACTCCGGTCGTCCCTCGCAATATTTTACAAAGAATCAGAAAACTACGCGGATAATGATATGCGCGGGAAAGAATACGCTATTTCGGATGCGTGACTCTAGACAATTTTCTATTCTCAGATATAGAAACTCTAACAGACGAGAACGACACAATAATCACGAAACGATACTTTTGTTCTACATTAATGTGACGAAATCGCGGCGACTGTCGGCGTATCCGCGGGAGAGAGAGCCTCTCTTAATATACGCGCGGGAGAGAGCACGCGGTCGGCCGGGCGCCGGGATAAATTCTACGCGGAACGAAACTCTAAATCAAACCTCTCGAAATATCGCGAAATTACACCGGTGAATCTAATAACCGGCCGCGGCCGTGACACGCTTCTCTCCCGAATACGGTACTCACAAAAGAATTTAGCGGTTTTACAAGAGTATATAGGGCCGTTCGTCTCACCGGTATCAAGGGGTCCTCTGATGCTTCGGCATCCGCGCGCAGGAACCTCTACTCTCCAGAACGCTCCGCCGGACAGTGACGAGCAAGAGGCCTGCCGGGATCACGCCGATAATAAATGGGGCATTTTCCACCCGTGGCGCTCCTTATCCTGGCAGGGCCGCCGGGTACCCCGCGGGGCCCTGCGAATTTGCTTGATGCAAATTTTCTCTCGCCGTTCCTCTGTGCTTCCGCTTCGGGTTCCGTTCTTCCTCTTTATGTTCGTCGGGGAGACTCCTTTGAGCGCGCCTTTGTGCGGTTCCTCCAAAAATCCGCACGATCGATTGTTTGGTCGATGGTGAACTTTTGTGTATCCGGATCTGCGGAGGCTCGAGGCAGGATATCTCCCGCGCCTTTTGTTTCCGGGGCTCTCTCGCCTCTTGCGAGAGAGTGGCCATCCCCGTCTCTGGCCGGAATCTCTGCAAAAGAAGAACATTTTACGGCGGTATCCAGGTTCTTAACGGGAGGAGCAATCCAGAAAATCTATGTGAAAATAATATTTACCGGGCGTGATCCGGACTTGGTGGTTTCTGCTCGGTCCTAAATCGTCCTCTTCGTCCTTTCTCTCTTTCTGTTTCTCCGGTTGAGACACGTACCCTATGCAAAATTGCTCGCCAAAAACGCAAAAATCGCTTAAACAAAAATCATAAATAAAGTAATTCGCGAAACGGGTGCGCGAAGCGCATCCTCCGACGCGGTAGAAAACGCAAAAATGATTTTTCGGGTGCTCTCTCTCTCTCAAAGATTGGCGAGAGAGCAAAGGTTCCCGAATTTCTCGCCTTCGGCCCTTGTGACGGACAGTAAAAAATGTCACGTCACAATATATATATATATATATATATATATATGTATGTATGTGTGTATGTATGTATATGTATGCATATATAGAAAATGTTAATAAAAAAACTACCTGTACATCCAGCCCTTCTTGAAGGAAACTCTAACGTCTCGCAAGAGGCAAACGTTTGGCGTTATATGTTTGTCCCATGGTGTGGACAACACACAAACTCAATAACACACTAAAAAAACTAACTATATATAATAAATATATAGTATGTAAAATTTGACAACGATACGTTGTATACGCTGCTTTGTTTTACGCGTATGAACGTGTATAACACCGCGCGACGTGAGTGAGGCGTCGCGCAGTAGATCATATCAACGTATAAAGGTATCTTTCATGCTGGTCGCTCGACGCTCGTTTCCTGCAATGTGATGACGTCATGTAAGTCGCTAGCGACGTGAAATGTAGTTCGATTTTTCCAACTACAAGCGATATTAGCGACGATAAATTTGAATAAATATCGAAATGGTAAGTATAATATATTGTTTGATGATATAATAAACATGTACATATATATTATTATATTATTATAAAAATATTATTATTATATTAAGGGATGCTGGAGCTGTGCAGAGACTTTTGTTGTACATAACCTTGAATATGAGCAAATTTGCTTCATGTAAAAATTCTACAGTTTGTTATGCGCAAAATAAGAGCCAGCGTATGCGAAGGTTGTACAAAATTTTAAGTACATTTTTCTTTTTTTCTAGGCTTTTAACCTTAGTTCCAATTGCACGATATTGTTCAGATATGTTGTCTCGCGCATACGCTGACTCTTATTTTGCACATACACAAACTGTAGAATTTTTACATGAAGCAAATATTGCTCGTGTTCGAGATTATGTACGACAAAAGTCCCTGCACAACTCCAGCATCCCCTTATTAAGGACATTATTATGTCTTTAACATTATAAGTAAACATAAATTGAGAAAGGTCAATTTCGAGCAACACTTTAACATATCTTGTTTTACATATAAATATAAATCTGTTATTTTTTAATCATAAGTTATGTCAGTAATAATTTTTATGTAACGTACGCAAAAAAACATTGAAGTAAATAAAATATTTGTTATATAAGAATTTTCTAAAATATTTTTTGTAGTCTCGTGTTCAAACGTGTGGATTATGTGAAATCATATGTAATGAGGACGAAGTACCCAGCCATGAGTGTCTTCAAGGATATTCTAATTTCATTACAGATAATAATTTGTACTTTTACCCTGTATTAGGTATTTTATATATATATATATATATATATATATATATATATATTTTACTTAAGTTAATTACAAATTATTAAATCTGACGTTTTTTTTAATAATGTTTTTTTAGACGATGGAGAAACTATTGTTAGAAGAAGCTTGACACAGGACGCTGAAACAATAGCATCTGTACCTTTTCATGGTGATAATCAAGGTCAGATAAATGTAATAAATTCTTGAAGTTTTTAAAACATTATAAATGAGAAGTTATACATATTATGTTTGTATGATATACATTTTATTTTTTGTTTCAGAGAATATTCGATCCATTAATAATAATAGAAATTTCAATCAAAAGAGCGCAAAGGAAAAACTGTCACTTGAGGAGGAGGAGATGCTAATATTAGAAGTCCAATGCAGAGAACCACTATGGAATTTTAGATTACCTCTCATTCAAAGAAATTGCAGAATTACAAGAGCTTTGTGGGAAGAAGTTTCTCAAACTTTTAATGGTTATATAAATGTCTATTATTTATAATATTAAAAATATGCTGAGTGTTTCGCGAGTTTTATCTCCGTGTGTAAGTTCATCCTTGGATACTATCCAAGCATCCATAGCATCCAGGATGAACTTACACATGGAGATAACCCGCACACTCAGCAAACTGAAGATAGT